GTCATCCTGATCTATATCTAGCCACTGGACCCATATGGCTCCAGAGGAGAAAGTGAGGCTGGTGACTCTGCACAGTCCACCCTCACTGAAATCCAATTCACCTGCAAGTCATGGCATCACCTCTCTGATGTCATGGTCCTCTTCAAGAACAAAGGTCCAAAAATAACAATAACAGTCTGAGGCCTGATTTAAACTCAGGAAGATGAGTCTGCATCACCAAGCCACCCAAGCAGAGATTCTTTCCAATTTATCCTGTATGTAGCTTGTTCCCACATAGTTGTTTGCAAGTTGCACTCCTCATTAGGCTATGAGCTCTCTGAGGGCAAGGACTGTCTTTTGCCTTTCTTTGTAACCCCAGAGCTCGGCACATAAAAAGCACTTAATAAATGTTAATTGACTGACTGACTAGAACTCTGAGAGCCAGAATTTCTCCTCTGACTTTCAGATTTGGATAATGCATTGGTGTGGACACTCCCTTCATTCGCACAGATTGCAACTCCCTCCACAACTTCAAAGATGGTTTAAGAGGGTCTCTGTGGCTGAAAATATCCACTGCCTGGTGACCAGCCTTCTGGGGAGGAGCTTCCTTAACCTTGGCCCGGCAAGCCCACAGATGACAGACATACAATCTGTCGAGGAGTCTGCCCTTAAAGTCATTTCCTGCCAGAAATTGCACTTGTCTGGCATGATCTTCAAGAATCAGTCACCTCCACGCCACCAAAAAGCATCAGAGTGGGACCTCAGTGACACTGTTTCTAGAACAGTAACCATGTTTCTCAGTCCCCAGATTGGGGCACGATGTCTGGTAAAGGATGTTTGTTTCACAAAGATTTATTAAGCGAGCTTTCTTTTCTTGAGCTTAGAACTGTCTTGGAAAATCTGGCATCTCTGGTTGCTATAATAATGGGGAACTCAACTCCTATTAATGGTGAAGGAATCCAGGGAAAATCTGATTTGGCCAACAGGATTTCTAGGGTCCCCTCTAGAAACCCAACCCTAGGGTAAGTCCTGTGGAGTTAGAAAACATGCAAAGGTTTCCTCTGTTGCTTATAATCTCCAAAGTGATCCCCTCCTGGTGCCTCTGAGGAGCCACTCCTACTAGCTCTATTTCCCCAGAGAACCAATGATTACAGACAGTCTCCAACTTAAAAAAAAAAAAAAAAAGTAGGCTATTTTCCGAAAGTGTGTTGCTAAGTGGGTTTTTTGGCACCTGGAACACATTTTTCCATAGTAGTAATAATATAAATGGTGGTCAAGCTTCCTGGTCAGCCCATAAAAGACTATTTAACCCATAAAGTAACTGAACTACACTATTGCTGAACCATTCCAGTGATGTTATAGGTTAAACAGGCAAAGTAGCCTGAGAGACAAACCAGCATTTATAAGATCATTTCCATGGGAAAATGCTTTTCAAGACCTGTGAGGAAAAGAGAATTCAGTGGCACTGTAAGCACGAGTCTCCTTCTCCTTTTGCCCAGGCTGAACCCGTTGGTTATCTACCAGGCAAGAAATAAATCTAAGGAAATATTTCTCATTCACTATGATTCCTCTGAGAACTTGCATTCAGCAAAATGTGGGCTGGCTTTATAAATGATGTTCATCATCTCTCCCCCATTAAAATGTAAGCTTTTTGCAAGCAGGGATGGTTTCATTCTCTGTACTCATATCCCCAGAGCCTATCACAGTGCTGAACATGTAGTAGGCACTTCGTAACGACTGGTTGGTTGATTGACTGATTAGGGGAATAACTACATTTGGAAAGGTCTAATTCACTAAACAAATAGTAACAACCTATGTTGTTATTGTATATGCATGTATATTATATATTGTGTGTATAAGTATTGTATATGCATGTATATTATATATGTATATATTGTATTGTATGCATATGTATATGTATTTATTGTATATGTATGACATACATACATAACTATATGTGTATGTTATATGTATATATGTATATTACCTATGTGCAACGTACTCTACTAGGTGGTAGAAGAAATGTAAAGAAAAAATAAGAGGTCACTCTCAGTAAAAAGTATTGTGCTATTGTTGAGGTTTAGGGGTGCTTAGAACCCTGAAATTCAAGGGCAAGCGAAACAGGTCCTGCCTCAAACGAATTCGACGCAAGCCTTCTTTTAGCTAAAGACAAGGTTTATTAAAACACTGGTTGGGGTGGAGGGGGGCGTGGAGATTCTAAGAATCCACATCATTGGCCAGATTTTAAGAATCTGAGCCTTTGTAATGAGAATACAACTGGGACAGACTCTTAAGGAGTCTGACCATTTGACCCGGGCAAGATGGACACTTATATACAGTGGTCAAAGAGTGGCCAATAGCTTGGGTGACTGGGAGGTAACAGAGAAAGACCTGGAAGGGCTGAGTTTCCCAGGCAAATGTCAGGAACCTGGGCCCATGGGAAAGTCCAGGGCTTTTTAGGGGTCCATCATGAGTGCCCCATCACTATCTGCTGTTGTAGGGAACAGAGGGTCAGGAGAGAAAAATATGAATAAGACACAAACTCCGTCCTCAAGCTGCTTAAGACCCAGCCGCAGACATAAGAGGTATACAAATAGCTAATTCTAATAACTAACATTTGTATAGTGTTTATTTTTGCCAGCCATTGTGCTAGGTGCTTTATAATTATCTCATTTGGTCCTTACAAAACATTGCGAGTGTTTTTATAATCCTCATTTTACAGATGAGGAAACTGAGGCAAACACACAGCTACTAAGGGTCTGAGGCTGGATTTTAATTCAGGTCTTCCTGACTCCAGGCCCAGCACTCTATCCACAGTACCTCCTTGCTGCTCACAAAAATGTGGCAGATACTATAAGAAGAAAATAAACAGGGTAATAGGGAATACAGAGACAGAGATGGAGAGAGAGTTTCCTCTTGGGGCAGAGATTCATAACCATTTTTGTGTCATGGACTCCTTTGGCAGTCTGGTATAATCTATGGACCCCTTCTTAGAATAATGTTTTACAAATAAATAAAATAAAATACATTGGATTACAATGAAACCCAATTATGTTTAAAAAAAATACAAAAGTTTAAAACTATTAAAACTATATATTGTCTTCCTTCTTCTACCATCCCTTCTCCTTCTCATCTTGAGACTCTCAGTGCAGAACCAATGCAACTCCAGGACCTTTGTTTTTCTTATTTCACTCCCTTTGAAGATGTTAATATTCTGAAGGGACTCTTCTTCCTCCCTTTATTAGGGTGTTAACACTACATAGTCATGCATCATTCTCCCCAGACTCTCCCAACATCCTACTTTACCATTACTGTTAAGGACACCCATTTTCTCAGAGCCTTAGATTTTCAACCTAGGTATCATTTTCAACTCCTCATTGTCTCCTATCTCCATATCCAACTGTTTCTAAAGCCTGTCAATTTCACCTTTACAACATCTCTGGAATAGAGGTAAAGTAACTTGCCCAGGGTTACTTAACCAGTAAGTATCTGAGGTTGGATTTGAATTCAGATCTTCCTGATTCCAGATCTAGTACTCTTTCTACTACGTTATCTAACTGTCACAATTTTAAAAGCACAATTGATTTTTCAAGATGTTTCAAAAAGGCAGAGATTTTAAAAGAATGGAAAACAGCATAGATGATGCTTTTACAAAGAGATGTTGACTGCAAAAACATAAAGAACTAATTACCAATATGTCTGTTTTCTCAGTCACTGTGAAATACATTTGAGAGTATCCTTGTTGAAAACATAAGAAAAGAATAGAGAGACTTTCATAAATTTCATATATGGGTATGAATAGAGATTTTGGTAGAGAAAAGATTAGAGGGGTGAGCATAGACAGCTGTCATAGACTTAGGATTATGCTTAGGGCCAAGAGAGAACCTGACACATTGTTAGGCTACATTTCCCAGAAGCTTGTGTGTATGGGCTCCACAGCATCATGGTGTCACCTAGCACAGATTTAGACTGGGTATGTGTGCTTCCAATGAGAATAATTTAAATGGCCGGGCGGTCTCATGAGACAGATTGGTACAGGGCTGGGGTGACAGAGATGAGAGAGATGAGACAACAGACCATTGCATCTGGACCATATTATGGCTAGCAGAGCTGGCAAAGATGACTGA